AATAATAAAATCCTTTCGAAGGAAAGACATGAAAAGCTAATATTAGCCTGTGAAACATTAGCTCAGAATAATCCAGAAGACTTCAGCAGTTCAGGTCTGAACCTTTCCTGGAACTACCTCTGAAAGGGCAAACGTAACAGAGAGAAGGGACTGAGCGAGATGTGGCCTCAGAAGGAATGTGGAAGCCAATACGGAAGAGTACAGTATCCAGGGGGAAGAGGACAGGCCTAGTTTTGAGAAGCCATGTTAAAAGAACTCAGAAGAATTAAAGGTAGATATCTGAGAATGTATTTAGTGATTTTTTTGGTGGAGAGGGTATCAGGGATTGAGCCTAGGGGGCACTTAACCACTGAGCCACATCCTGATATCCCAGCTTTTTTTTTTTTTTTTTGAGACAGGGCCTCACTAAATTTGTTAAAGCTGTCTTTGAAATCGCCATCCTCCTCTTGAGTTGCTGGGATTACAAGTGTGCACCACCACACCCAGAGGTATTCAGTATTTTAAAAGGATCCTTGATACACAAAGTTCAAGAACCACAGATCTAAATTCAAAGCCCTGGATTAAGACTTCATTTGATTTTCAGCTAATTCATGGATCAAAGAGTCATAACAGTTCTTTATGTAGGGCCTATGGCTCAGTAATTAACCCTTTCTCACCATGATTTGAGGATTAGCACATTGACAGCAATGCATTGGGATTTAATGAAAATAATCAGCTGATAATACAGCACTAATACTTTGATTTCTCTGACTCATGCTAGTCTCCACTGACAAAAGATGCCACCTTAAAAATAAAAGGTAGGAGAAGAGGTGGGGGGATACATATATGTCAGAGAGAGAGAATTCATGGAACACCAACTAAGTGCCACATGGCGGGCAGTATGCTCTACCTATATCACCTCTTTTAATTTAGTTATGTGTGGTCTTTCCAAAGGTCACAGAGTAGTAGGTGTGAAAAGTTTGCAGCTTTAGTTTTATTGCACCATTAGTTTATGATGTCAAATGCAAATAATTAGAATGAGAACAGCACTTCGTAGATTCCATAGCCTATACGTTGAACGCTCCATGGTGTCTCTGAAATACACCCACTGGTGGCACCAGGCTCATCACCTGGAATATTTCTAGAATATTCTAAGTTTTGAGGCAGCAACATGTGGTGGAATGAGCTTCTATGAACTTCCAACCTTAGCCTGGGCAGATGACCTCACCCTTCTAAACAGCAGATTCCTTAGCAGCAGCATGGGGATGGGGAAGGGGTAGCCACCTCATCAGGTTAGAATGAGGATTACATGAGACAATGTATGAAGGTGTCCTTCTTACAGAAAGCACTCAGATACTACAGCTTCCTTGCCCTCCTCCCCTTTAACATTCTTTAACTTCAAAGGTGGACTAGAAATGACCCCCTCTATTTATTAGGTACTCTCTCCTCCACATGAGTATTACTAAGCACCTGTATAAAAAGGCCTGAGGGGTTTTGTTTGGTTTGGATTTGCTATGGTTGCTTGTTTCTAATAAGAAAAATGTTTTCATGTGCTTTGATGAAACTGTATTGTGAAACACATGGCGTACAGTGTACCAATCATTAGTAAGAACAAAGAATAACTAAAAAGCTAGAAAGTGTGTCAGTCCCTGAAAGTTGGTCCTGGGCAGGGAGTGGAATCTGTGGTTCTAGCAAGCACCCAGTGGATACAGTTGTAAGTGATTCCCACCAACATTAAGGAATACTGATATCATGGACTTGCAATTGACCCCTGGAATAGCCCTTTGTAAAGGCTACAGCTTCTGTTACAAAATAACATATCAGCAATGAGTCTAAAGGTTCAAAGGATTTAACCTTCAAAATCCATGCCATCTCATACTCTTAAGTCACACTTTATTTAACATGTTTATCTTGATAAAACACCACATTAATAGCCAGTATGTCAGTGTCTACATATTCCATGTTTATGGTAGAGTTAACATATTCTGGGAACATTGCAAACCTCTAAATATAACCATCCCCTCTTTTGTGTCCACTTCCTGGGTGCTAAACTTGCATTTTGAGCCCCTGCCAGTGATACAGCATATGGAAGTGAGGAACCTACAGGAGGCCCAGGCTGAAAGACGGCAGGCATCTAGCAGCAGTCCCCTCCTTGCTGAAGAAGAGGGCAAGAGTCACCCAGAGAACAGGACTCCAGGCAGAGTCCCCCGGCTACTGCCACCTGACACAGGGAAATGCCTTTTCCTTGTCACCCTAATTCCCTTCTAGATATGTGAAGAAATATAGAAAGATCTGATTTTCAGAAGCTAGTCCAAAATAAGGGAGAAAAAAGAAGGAAAGGGGTGGAGGGATTCCATCAAAACAGAAGAAAGATCAGTGGTCTAGATGAAAGGGACTACGGGGGAAGGAGAAGGGACAGGAGAAGGAAGAACAGGGGAATGACTCTTACCTAACTTTCCTTCCTATGTACATATATGAATGTTTCACAGTGAATCTCTCTATCATGTACATCCACAAGAGATAACTATAAAAAAATTTAAAAACTAAATAGCGGGAAGATCAGTAGAGTAGGGGAAAGGGAACTGGGGAAGGCAGGAGAGGAGACAGAAAGGGGAAATACTGGGGACTAAATTAGAGCAAATTATAGTCCATGCTTTTATAATCATGTTAAAATGAATCCTAACATTATATAAAAAGAACCAACAAGAGAGAGAGAGAGAGAGAAAGGAAGAAGGAGGAGGAGGAGGAGGAGGAGGAGGAGGAGGAGGAGGAGGAGGAGGAGGAGGAAGAAACAGAAGAAAAATACTGCCAACATGTAACCTAACCCATGAGACCTATTAGAGAAAACTGAGAGAAGGGTTTTCATGGAACTGTCCACTCACCTCCTGCTTCACAGGAGATTCAGCAGCCTGGTTCTGAACCTGCTCAAGATGCTTCCACTTCACACCAAGGGACCCAGAGACACTAGGGAAAAACTGACTTCCCAAGTCCTCTTTGTGTGTGAAGTGTGAGCATGTGCTCCTGGCTTGTGACAGGGTCCCGAAAAGGTTTTGTAGGTATGATAAGAGAGGGAAGGTGCTTGGAAGTGTTGGCGAGGTGGAAACAAGAGGGAGATGCCACAGGGAGTTTTAACTGCCCCAGGAGCAACTCTCCACAACTTCTCAGGAATCCTTGGAAGAAGGCATGGAAAACAATGCAGCTTCAGAAACATCTCTGAGCTTGTTTTCAACCTGCCAGAGAGCTGCCAATCAAGGTGTGCCCTCTTCCAAACAACCATGCACATGATCAGCTCTAGGAAATAAATGTTTCACATGCATAAGAACATCCGCCCAAACACATCTTCTGAACCTCCTCAAGGATGCCAATAACATGGATTCCCTTAATTCTATATCTGAATAGAGATACGTCTATGAGTGCTTGAAACATCCAGATTGCAGATTTGCTTACAACCAAGAACCAGTTTTGGTTGAAGGATGGCTTTTTGCAACTGTCCTTTGCTATCCAAATTTAATTTATGCCCTGCGCTGCCCTTCTCCTTTACCTTCCTCTCTCACAGGACCACACATAGTGAAGGAGTGGGGCATTTTCTTTTCATTACATATCTGTGTTTAAAAGAGAAAGGATATATCGAGTCTGATGCAGGACAAGTTAATCAGTGATAAAAAAAATGACAACTTATACTTGTTGAGCACTTTATTATCTGCCACCTTGCCACATTTTACATGTATTATCTCTCAGAATCCTCACAACAATCCTATGAACTAGGTATTATTACTATCTTCATTTTCCAGATGAGGAAATCAAGGCTCTGTAAGATTAAGTAACTTGTTCAAGGTCACATGGCGACTAGGCAACAGAGTCAAAATTTGGACCTAAGTTGTCTAGCTTGAGAGCCAAAGACAGAATGATTAAATTACTCAAGAGATGTAATTAGTTTCCATGAACTTCTAATTTAGGCTAAAAGGGTATTCAGCCTTCAGCAGCCACAGTACAGAGCAGACACTTGCCACAGAAGTCATTCTAGTGCAAGAGGCACTATCTCAGAACCTTCCAGACCTCAGAGTAATGGTTATAGGTAAATCTCCCAGGGAAGGCAGCTTTTTTTTTTTTTTTTCCTTTAACTAAAGGAAAGAGATTAAATGGTATTACATGAGTATCATGCTGAGATTTAAGGATCTCAGTGCTAGCATTGCTGATCTTGAACAGGCAGCTTAAATAAGCTTACCACGTGGGTTTCATTGAAAGAATTAACCTGTTGCCAAGTAAAGTGTCTCAAAGAATTGGAATCTTGTCAAACCAGATTAACACCATGAAATGGTACAATTTAATGAGACACACTATAAATCTTGAGGAATACAACACACAGCTCTCTCTCCAAAGACTGATTTTGCAAGTGATTGGTATCTTTCCTGGATGAGCACAGTGGTAGGTGAAATGCTGCCACTAAAAGCTTTTTCATTAAAAGCTTTTTATTAAATTGGAATAAAATTTCTTCCATCTCAGGTCCCTTTTATTTGTTTGCTTTGTTTTATTTTTTGGAACTGAGGATTGAACCCAGGCATGCTTTACTACTGAGTTACAGCCTCAGTCCTCTTTAATTTTAAGATATTTGCTGAGACTACCCTCAAATTTGGGATCCTCCTGTCTCAGCCTCCCAAGTTACTAGGCTCAATTCCTTTAGAATCATTGTATTATTTAAGGGGGGGGGGGGACCTTATAAAGTTATAATCAGGCTAAATAGTTTTGTTTAAGCATCTACCCAATCTCTTGGAGACATAACACATACCCTAAGTATGTAAGACGCTGAAATCAAATTAATTACTACAAATCATTGCTGAACCTAAAAGATGGGGAGGCAGCACTGATCCTCACAATCAGTGACGGCCCAAGGTCTAATCCAAACTGGATATAGGTGGAGGATAAAGAAGGGAGGGTAGGAGAAAAAAGCAGAAAATTTTGACTTAAAGGAAAAGGAAAGAAATCCAAATTTAGCAATATTTGTTCCTAAGAAAATGACTCACCTGTCTACTGCTTCTACGTCAAAACAAAATCTCTTCTCAATAGAGTCTGTTTTCCTCCGTGTACAGGATTTGAGGGTGACCGATTCATCTTCTCCCTAGTAGGAATAGGTAGACCATCAAGGTGAAGCAGAATGTGGGCTGTTCCTCTCCAGGACAAATGCGGTACCTAAACAGATAACTTTACCCTTTCCAACCTGAGAGTATGTAACCATGTAAGATCAGCCATTGATCATAAAACCTTCTCAGTCCAAAGCCTCCTGCAGCTAAATTTAGGAAACTATTGTACCCAGAGCTAAACATCTTCAATACTAGTATATAGGGGTGGTATAGTATCAATCCATGGTAGATGAGCACCTGCTGATGTTGTCTTAAACATGTGTGATTTGTGGATTCGATAAGAATTGAAGATGGTCTCCTAACTGTGAGCTTCTGAGTCTTTTCATTAGTCACCACTTCTTCAAGAACACCTTCCTGGACCAGGTCAAATCTCCTCCAAAACAAGCTCACATAGCACCATGTACCTTTCCCTTCCTCACTGTGCTGATCACAGCTGAAGCTGTCCAAAGATGAAGATGTTCAATGATGATTAATGTCTCTCTCCCATTAGACTGTAAGCTCCCTGAGGGCAAAAGACTGTTTATGCCTACTCCTGTGTCTCCTGAGATGAACTGGTCCTAGACAGAGTAGGTGTTTTATAAACATTTTAACAGCTTTACTGACCCATAGTATATTATTAAACTACATGTTTAATGTGTAGAATTTATAAGTTTCTATATACTTATACACCCATGAAGTGATCATTACATTTGAACTAACATTTCCATTACCCCCAAAACTTTTCCCCTATCTTTTGGTCCCCCTTCCCACTTCATCCCTAAGCAACAACTGAATCTGATTTCTGTCACTTCAGGTTAATTTGCATTGTCTATAATTCTGTATAAATGAAACCACATAGTACATGCTCCTTTTTTATCTGGCTTTTTATACTCAGCCTAATTGCTTGGTGATTTGCCCATGTTGTGCACATGAAGGGTTTGTTTCTTTTTACTGCTGAGTAGTAGAAGCAGAATACAACCATTTTATCTCATATCACTAATTTATTGCCTAGGAACACCAAAGTTGTATCCCCAGTTTCTTCTTTTTCTCTTTAACTTGGGAATTTGTTAGGGTTTCTGTTTTTCCTGCCAATCAATTACATTTTTTTCCCCTAAACTAAGAAAGAAACCAGCAAGCCTGCCTGGTTTGTTGAAATAATAGGAAATGTGACTACATAAGGTAAATTTAGCTACCCACTAATATCAGAGTAGCACACTAAACACTGAAGACCTGGGAAGAGACAGTTTACATTCACGAGTCTTATATCTATTGTCTTTTACTGAATAGCAAAGATTAATTTCTCAGATTGAAAAGTGTTCTTTCTCTCATTTGTAAGACGTATGAGTGTTTTAAATAAAAATTACAAGAGGCCACTGTTTTGGACTAGGCTCCTTTCCTACCCTGGGCCCCAAAGCCTAGACTTAAAGTCAGCATGGAGTCACCCAAGCTAATGTTCTTTGTCACTAAATCAAAACCAAGCTGTTTATCTGACCTTCTAAGAAACCAGGAAAAATAAGAGATCAAAGCCAAAATTCCCAAACAAGTTTGTTTCAATTGGCATGATAATAAAGTTCCCTCTGCCTGAGAGGTAACCTGAAGTAGCCTAATGCTGACAGATCTGTTATTTTCTGATTATCTGTCTCCCTGTCCCATCTTTATAAGTAACTGAAATGACCAGTTCACTCTGAGTCCTCTGTTAATGCTTTCTTCAGCCTTTTTCTGTTTTAAAAACTGCTTTGCTCATCAGAACACTTTTTTCTATTTTATGGAAGGAAGTATTGCTTAATTCTAGAATTGAAAATAAAGCCAAGTAAATCTTTAAACTAACTTAAAATTTTGTTCTTTGAAAATAGAAACACCCAACAGGATCAACCAATTTGTTAATGTCTGTATTTCAGATTTACTAGCTCTAGACCAGCTTCTACTTTGAAAGCTCAGATGAAGTATCCTAGAGAAATGGGAGAATATAGGAATCTATAAAGGATCATCAAATACAAGCAGAAAAAGTAGAAAGATGAGGTTCTTGCCCAAGGATGACTATGCCGTATTGGAAAAAAATCTATAAAAATGTTCGGTTTAACTACTGAGGGTTTAGAAAGTGGCAGATACAGATAATCACTTAAACAAAAAGTTAACAACTTTTTATGACAAATACTGAGAGAGAGTTGGTGGGCTGGGGGTGGGGGGAGGAGGGAGAGGCTGACTGTGTTTAAGCTGAAATGAAAAGGATCTGATGGGATCAGGAAGGTTAGAGAAGCTGGCCTGAGCTGGGGTCGGGAGGATTCACTGGACACAGAATGAGGAGAACAGGAGCAAGTGGGTGCAGAGGACCTGTGGCCTCAGCAGAGGGTCTTGAAGGAACAGAGGGACACTGGTGTACTGCAAGGCCAGAGTGAGAGGCAGAGAGGAATGGGTATGAGGGAGGCCAGGGCCAGACCATGCAGGAGTCTGGTCTGTATCCTGAGAGCAGCAGGAAAGGACAGAATCAGCATTGGGCTGCTTCAGACCTGCACAGAGGGAGCTCCCTCTCAGAAGGTAGGGTGCCGGGACATTCCTTCACCACATGTGGGCTCCTCTCTCCAAGAGGATATAGCAAATCTGCTCACAATTCCAGGCCTGAGGCTGAGAGCAAAGTCAGCACTTTTAATGGAAAATAATTCAAATGAAAGGGACAGGGGGGAAGAGGGAAGAAAAATCATGTTAGGAAAAAAACAAAACAAAAAAACACCCTGTGATCTATGTCAAGTCTGCTGCCAGTGCCTAGGACAGGTTTGTACAACATGAATGCAGTATCACATGATTCCTCTGAACCAACTGAGAGGACATTACCTCTAGATGGCTAGTCCCCCTACTTCTCTTCACCTGAAAGCTGACAAAGAGTGACATTATGGCTACAGAAACAGGAGACTCAGACTCTGGAATGAGGGGGGTTCAGTCCTAGCTCTGGAACTCCTGAGCGGTATGACACTGGAAATCTGTTGCTCTTTCTGACCCTCAATTTTTCCCTTTGTGAAAGAAGGAAAATTGGATCAAATAGGACAATACTGGATAATAAAAGGAAGTAGAAAACTATAAAATGTAATATAAATGTGAGGAATTATCATTAGGAAGATGAATTACTATAATACCAAGGTCCTAAGATCACACTCATCAGTGTCAAGCTCTGTCCCAAGAAATTGATCTGCACTGACTCGTATAAACCCCTTGACAACCAAGGAGGTGTTTCAGGATCTCGCTGACATCTTTGGAGTCCCAAACACCCATTGCAGTGGTCTCCACTCTTTACTTTCAAGAAAGATAGGTGTAGAGAAAATGCAAGAGCATTTCATTAAATATTTGATAAAGTACAAGATAAAAAGACCCAAAATAAAGACTGTGGGAGAGAATAATTCAGCGAAGGTGATTTCTAGGACTAAGAGTTACAAAAGTTCTCTGACCCCAAGTTAAGCAGGCCTCCTCCAGGTTCATTTCACAGAAACTAGGGAACTCTTCCTAACACAGGTTTATGATATTCCTTCAAAAATACTGTAATTTCTCTATGTATGATATTTTAACATGTCTGCTTTCTTGAGATTATTTACAAGTCAGCCCCTCCTCTGCCAAAAAACATTAAAAGGGCTTTGTTACTGCTTGGATACAAGGAAGGAACAGAGATGCTGATAAACTTCTCTATTGTGGCTAAAGTAAAAGAAAGCCCGGAAGAGAAATTGGACGTGAAGAGAGCAAAGGGCACAGCATGGCTGAGCAGCTACAGTGATAATGACTGTACCTAACGCCACCAACCTGAGATCTGGTGCAGCCAGTGTTATACACGTGAACACTGTGATCCCATGCACACCTCCCAACACACTGCACAAAGAGGCACCAGAGAGAGGGCCAAGGTGCCAGGATTGCATAGGACTCATTTATCAATGATTAGATACAACTCAAAAATACTTAAAACTACAAATAGAACCAGGGTTGGGCTGTAGCTCAGCCATAGAGTGCTTGCCTAGTATGCATGAAGCACTGGGCTCAGTTCCCAGAGAGAGGAAAAACATAAATACTTATTAAAAACATTTAAACATCTCCAGAAGGAAATAACAGTAAGAATGAGAAGCAAAATTCAAAGTGATAATCAGCAAGAATTTTCTAGCTATTAAAAAAAAAAAAAAATACCCACAAATCAAAAGACCAAAAATTCCAAGCAATGGATTTTTTTTAAGTTCAAAACTAGGATAATCATAATGTAACGTAAAACACTAGATGAAGAAGAGAAGGTAGTAAGAATAGCAGGAGACAGAAGACAGATCACTCCACAGGACATCGGCACCATTGAGAGTTCCCATCAAAGGCTGATTGGCAGGAGGCAAGGAGATATCTGTGTATAAGGGAAGAATATTAGAGATTCTAGCAGCTGTGGGACAGGGCCCCAGGGAGCCTGATGTGGCATTATAGTCTCTTCCAAAGATGACCATGGAATATCTTCATTCCCAAATGCTCTTGACACAATAAGCATCGGAAGTCCTACCACAAAGAGACAGGGTCTGCACCCTCTCCTATGGGAACTTTGTGGGCTCTTGTGACCGTTCCAACCAACAGAAAGGTGCAAGTAAGGGTAATGACTTCTGGGGTTAGGTTGTGAAAAAGCAGTACAGTGCCTGTGTAAACTGCTAGAATATCCACTGCTGAAGCCTGCAGTCGCTCTGAGCCTATCTGCATAGTGATGCTGTGAGGAAGCCAAAAGTTGCCTATATGGGGAGACAGATAGGCAGGTCCTAAGACCATAGAGACAGGGGGAGAGTGGGGGCAAGAGGAGGGGATAGAAGGAAACCAGGAAAGAGGAAGAGGGCTCTGTGTGGCCAGCCTTGAGCTGCTTCAGACCCACAGACTTTCCACTCTACTACCATCTGGTTGGAACCAATTGAGAACTGAGCCTGAATCACTTACTCAAATGCTCCCCAAATTCCTGACCCACAGAAACAATGAGACATACTAAAATAGCTGGTGTGGCTGTCAAAGTTGCTTAGTTTTGGGGTGACTTGTTATACAGCAATAGATAACTGGAATATCTAAACTGCCAAATGGCAGCTCTCCAGGGATCAAGTGAGACTAACGTGAATCAGCTTCCTAGGAGGAGGTCATCCAAGACTTTTCAGCTTCTAAAAACATCTGACACATTTAATATCATGTACATGTGAAATATAAGCATCTTTCTTAATTGCAGTTCCCAACATAACTTAGAGCTAAGAATATTCATCTTATTTTAGTTATCTTCAGGATACCAGGCCTTCTGGAACTACTGTATAAAAACTAAGAGAATTACAGTGAAACACTGGAAATGTTACTTAATGTTCACATTATAATCATTATCTGTTAGCCAAGCAAATCAAGCATGAAATTTAAAAAAGGAACTCACCCCCTTTCCTCCTGACTTTTGGTCAAATGGTACCATAGTGATTTGTTTGGAATCTCGTTGATATGTACAGTAGTGCTTCACCCAAGAAGTTCCAAAGTGACCTGCAAGGTAACATTGCCTGTTAAACATCTGTACTTGCCCACTGTGTGCTGCCCAGCATTAACTGCAGAAACATATAGCCCACCGCCCATAATGCTCACCTACCCTGTTTGAGGGCAATGGATTCTCCACACAGCTAGACTGAAACAGACAGAAATCTGATCCCACAGGCTGGAAATGGAACCAGCCCAAGGCTTTCCCCCAGAGGCTCAAGAGCTCTATTTCCCACTAAAACTCTCTCCATTGGGTCTTTAAATGTAAGGGAAGTAGAGGTTCCCTAGGGAAATTAATTCACATTCCCATCATCAATCTCCATTTGGAGTTTCCGCTCTCTTTCCTGACTGGAGTAAGATGCTAAGGAAAGAACCCAGAAAGGCTCCTCCAAGTGCCTGTCACCATTCCCAACTGGGACGATGACATCAGGCTTCCCACACAGCTGCTCGGTGACTCTGTGCACAGACACTGGGGGTTCTGACCTACTTCCAAACCCCTCATATTTACTTTGGCAGAAGGAAAAATGATTGGGAAAGCAGACCGTGATACCTAAGAAACACCAGAGGTACAGAGTGGAAGTGACTGAAAGGCTCAAATGTAATCTAAGGAGCTGTTTCTCAAAATTGTCCCTCAGGGAAAGGGAGACGCCATAGAGCGGAGGTCTAATGAGACCTCTGACTTCACTCACTACTCAGCCTATATTTTGAACAACAGAACAGTATGAGATGAAGAAGGCATTACCAGCCTGCAACAGCCTCAATCAAGAGCTCTCGTTCTAGATGTTTACAGAGATCAAATAGCATAAATGGTTAAAAATTTTAAAAGCATAAAAAGGGAATCAGTAGACATTTAATAATTATTAATGGTGTGTCATGACTGCCAACTGCAACTGCTAGAAGCCACTTGGTAAACGTAAAAGGCAAGACGTGAGTGTTCACAATAGGGCGTCAAGCACAAATGAAACGCCAACCACCCAAACGCATTCTGTGGCTTAGAGGGAAGTTCCAGTGACTACACGACATGAGGTTCCAGGAGAGCTTTGTATTGGCCAATTTAAGCATCAAGATAAATAAAGACAGTAATGGATTATAGCCTACTGAATGAAAGTTCATATTGCCAATGGAAAGACAGAGGGACAGACAGAAGGGTGAACTGGAAGAGTGGGAGGGAGAGAGAAAGGAAGGGAAGGGAGGACACTGAATGGCAACTACTAAATATGGAAGGAGAGGCAGAGCTGGGAAAGCACCATCTGTCAAGCATCACAAAGTTGGGTCCGGCATGAGTCATTGGACACGAAGTCTACAGAGAGCAAAGTGTGGAAAGGAGTGACTAGGGAAAAAGCAGTGACTAGACAGTGCAGAGACCAGATCACACCTTGTGTGGATGATCAAATTAACAGCATCATCAAGGAGATGGAGGGATGTGGCCCTGAGGGGAAGAACATAGCACTACTCATGTAGGCCTGAGCTGGAGATGATTAGATGACCCAAATCTAATCACGAGGAAACATCAGTCAGACCCACACAGAATCAAATTCTATAAAGGAATTGGATCACGTCCTTTAAAAACTTCGGGGTCATGAAAGACAAAGAAAGGCTGAATGGTTGTGGATTGGCAGGAACTAGAGACATGACAACTACATCCAGCACACAAGTAAGTAATGGAGGAAACAATGCTTTGTAAGGGCTTTATGGGGACAAGTGACCTACTGTAATATGAGCTGTAGTTTAAATGCTGTATCAATATTCCATCCCTAGGATGTGGTGACATAAATGAATATCCCTATCCTTAAAAATTCTGAAGTGAAGGAGCATGGATTAGGCAACCTGCTCTTGAATGGTTCAGAAAAAGAGGGTATGTGTATCTATGTGTATGTGCACACACACATGTGAGCACAGAAAGCAAGATATATATATATATATATTATATATATATATATATATATAATAAAAAAATAAAATAATAAAAAAAATAATTATATATGATTGTGGCATACAAAGAGAAAAAATGATATAACTATAGCAAAATGCTAAAAATTGGTCCATCTGAGTAAATTCTCATATTTCCCCTTAAATCATTCTTATGACTTTTTTATATGTTTGCAATGTTTCAAAACAATAAGTTACCAAAAGTTTAACATAAAAAATGATGCACCTCAATGAAATACTCTAGACTACTGTGTTAGAGAACCATAAAAAGTGGTTCTAAGGATAATCAACACGTTGATGTCAAACAAGCATGTGAAGGGTGTGGAACAAAACTATAATGTCATGTGAGAATGCAAGAAAGCAATACCGATTTTATGTAACATGTAAATTAAGCATTGTAATGGACACTGAACGACATTTAAAGCCCTAAAAATTTGTATTTTCAAGTTGACCCTAAAACTTCTTGGCAGGGTAGGGGGTGTGATATATCTTCTCTTTTGGTGAAAAAACAACAACAATTGGAACTTTGATTTAGGAAGTGAAACTCACAACTGAAGTGGCTTCCACTTCTTATAAACCTCTACCAGCTCCTCCCTGTAAGAATAAGGAACGTGACCCCACATCACAACCAGTCCATCCAGTCCCACTGCTGCCCCACTGTTTCCAGGGGAAACTCTTACGTCCAAGCAAATTTTTAGTAATTGCTGAAAAGAATAATCACTACAGCCAAATGTTTCTAATCCATTCCATCAGGAAGCTGTATGAGTGAAGATATTTGCATAACAAGAGGACCCAGAAGAATGCAGAACCAGCACAAATCTGGAGAGACTTGCTCCTAGGAAAGCAAGGAGGGAGAGCCGGAGAAGTACCATGAAAGAAAACAATTGAACCTTTCTCACTCCTGGAATTGCATGTATGCAGTAAGCCTGCAAGTGCCACCTCAGTAGCACAGTCCCACTACAGAGCCCTTCCCTAGACCTCTGGCATGAATCTGTGTCATTGCTAAACACTTCCTGCTAGCAGCACCTGGCATCTCTCCTTGACATCATTATCAGTAAACAGTGGGTCTCCTTCCTGGCTCTCAAAGGGAGCTTTTGTTTCTACGTTTCATAAAACTCAAGTATTAGGATGAAAGAATAAAAGAAAAAGGGCCTAAGTCATGACTTGGAAAGAGAATCACCAAGTATTAGGTCTCCCAAAGGATCTGACCACTGAGAGACAAGAAGGTCTAGCATGTGAGACCTTTCCAAGGACCCTGCACTGAGGGTACAGGATGCTGCACAGGGACACTAGAGAAGAGAATCCCTCAGGGAATCCAGGTTCCCAGGGAGATACCCACTCACAACAAATCCAGAATACGCCACTAGGAGGTGGGCAAGATTTTGTAGACCTCACCTTTCCCCTTGGAAGCTGCACCATACCATTACCGGCCCCTCCCCCAGCATGTACTCAGTAGGCCAGGCACTACTGGACACACTCTCCACCTTCTGGACAGAGGGCCTCCGTGTCCTGCTGCTGGCAGGCAGCACACTCACGTTTCTCCTGAACATAGAGGTACCCCTCCATGGTGTAGGGGCTGATGGTCTTGTGCTCTAGGGGGTTCTCCTTCATCTTCTTCATCAGGGATTCCACCTCTGACCTGGTGCCTTCAAAGCGGTTTCTTGTCTAGGATAAAAGGAATTTGACTCAAATGAAAGAAATGAAATCTCTAACAATTCACAAGATCAATCCAATAGAATTCATAGACCTAAAACCAGAGAAGGGTCACTCATCCCTCCAAGAACTGAGTGAATATTCATTTATAAGAAGTGTCGTATTCCAGTCCCACACCTAAATGAATCACAAACTAGATCAAAATCACCCAGGACACCTGAGAAAATGCAAATGCCCAGGCCTAATTGAGCCTAATTACTCTCTCTCACCTAGAGATCAACTTAGAGCGGCTGGGCCTAAAACATGCATTTTAGACAGCAGCCCAGGCGATTCCGACTTAGGGGCCTGCACACCTTCAGGACTTGAGGGCCTCTGTTCTCCAGTGCAGAGAGGGATGCCTGATGATGGCTCACAGATGGGCCCCTGAGCTGCTGCACTCAAGGCCACCCCCTATCCAGAGCAGCCTGTATTCCTGACTTCTACTCAGGCCACTCTTAGGTCCACTCAGCCCCAGAGCACATGGCACAGCTCAGCCTGCCCTGCCATCCTCCTTGCTCCTCTCTCACAGGGGCTGCCATGGCACTCCAGGGAATCTGCTGCATATCAACTTCCATTCCAGAGGCAACCTTCAGAAGAACCCAGTCTAAGGTAAAGCTACCCTCTGTGAAATCTTTTCTGAGACTTTGCATTTCCTGTTCTCTGAGATGATGCAGAGAACCACATAGGCTCCAGACTTCTAAAGGCTGTGTGACACAGCCCACTCAGAAACACTGGGGTCTATTTCCTACACAAGAGCAACGAGAGGCAATATAAAAGTCAACAAGTCCCATCACACAGTGAAGAAGGCAGCTAGAGCCCCGGTAACTGCTCTGTGCACCAAAACGTACTGTGTGTAAAACCTGGAAGGTGACTAGGAGTGATCATACTGACCTGGACTTCCGGCCAGCCCTCCTAAGAGTTGGAAAAGTGCACATCCTTTGAGCTTGTGTCCCCAGTCCTGAACACACACACTAAGGTTTCATGTGGCCAGGCAGCTAGATGCATAGAAGGGAGGCTGGGCTGGGCTTTCCAAGGCCAAAGGAAATCCTGATTTTGGTGCTGCTGATTTAAGACATAATCAGAAGCAGCACTTCCCTGAACATAAATAGTGCTTTGACATAATGGAGAAGAGCATGATGGTCTGACTCAAGGCCACCCAGCACTCTGGAAGTGCCTGCCCCCAGCTGCCCTCTGAACCAGGCAGGACCCACCCTCCTCACCTATGTCCCAGCCCAGCTCCCTAGCAACCAGACCCATACTTTGTGTTTTTCTTTCTTTAACCAGAGAAAGGAAGTCTGTCCCTGTGGCCACTCACATTCTGTATGCTAATGGTCAACTGTGTCTTGAAGTCACCAAAATCCTTGGCCAGTTCATAACCATGGTGATAGAAAGTGAAGAGTCCTTGCAGGAAGGCCAGCAGCTGTAAAGAAAGAAGAAAGACAGAGGTCACATGAACACTGAAAAGAAGGATGCTGTAGCTCTGAGTTCTCAACACTGGTTTCAAAAGGTAGAACAATGATAATGGCTGACATATACTGAATACCATTTCTGTGCTAGGCACTGTGCCCTTCCATACCTTGCCTCACTGAATACTCACAATAATCTATGGCCTAAGCACTCCTGTTACTCCATTTTAATAATAAGGAAGCATATTCAGGGAGATTAAATAACTTGCCCAAAACACACATAAGTGGGAGCCAGGAATGAAGCCAGGTCTCCTTTGCATCAACACTCATGGGCTGAGCCTGTAAGCCTCATCATCGCCGAAGAACATTAGTTCTTCAGAGAAGAAAGACCAGGGCTACAGCTCAGTTTCCTTTGAGTACATTTGTAATATCAGGTTTTGATGTAGAACAGGAAGGGAACGAAGGAAGCTGGTATGGTCTGAGTCTGCAGTCTAACAGGCAAAGTCAAGGTGTATTTCTGTGCTTTCCCTAAAAAATCCCAAAGTAAACACTATAAACACCTTTATTAAAATAGTGCCACATTTTCAGGTATAATGGCTTCCCTCCATTTCAATCCCCTCAGGCTAAAAGGCTAGTTCATTCATTGTTTAGTCTTGTGTGTAGTGAATGGTGAAAACAGCTGACCACCATGATCTCACAGCACACCTCCATGTACTCAAAACCCACCCCCTCCCAGAGCCCCAGCCAGCCTCCACTGCTCCAAAATAAACAAACATTTTTCCTTTGGTCTTTCCTTAAGAGCCTAAATCCAAAACTCACTGTTTTGCTTTCTTGGCCCCTTCCCAAGTCCTCCACATCTTGCCTCAGTTCCAAATTTTGACCCAAAGAAACAATCATAATAAAAGGCTGGACAAATCTGAGAAGCACCGCGCCTTCCCTGTCATGAGCTCAGCTCTCCACATGCAGAGACCATCCCTGTCCTGCAAAGACTGAACCCAGAGCCTGGCACACACCAGGTGAGCGCTCCACCACTGAGCCACATGCCCAGTCCTCTGACACATTTTCTTAGTGGCCCACTCTGACCTTCCTGACCTGCTCCTACCACATATTACACCAAGACACACTGGCTTTAGTTTATGTTGTTGTATTTGACTTTTCCATCCCTAAATGAACACACTTTATGTGTTAAACATAATCCCAAGCCCATTTATCTTTACCAGACTCTGCTTTCCGAGAGGCAGCTCTGATAATGATGGTGAAGGGCTCTCTCACATCCAGCAGTGGTAAGCACCAAGGAAGGTAACTATCCACCTGAACCCAGGGCGCCTGCCTGCATGGCAAGCCACATGGCCCACTGATTTATCAGAGCTCTGTAGTGGAACATCAAACATCATCCAGGCTATAACAATGTGGTACATTGAGTTCCTACTGCCAGTGTTCCCAGCACATCTGTGCCCTTGGATTCTCACGGGAGCACATACAGCTGGATCCTCTGGCTATGAAAAGATCTAGAGTACCGTGTACATCCCTGACATAAATCCACGAATGAGTGGACAGTCAGAGAGAGTCACCAAGTACTAAAAATGAACTATTTTCTTCAAAGATGACCAAACCCTTTGGACTAACTCCATATAAAGTATTTTTCTGAGAGGAGGGCCTGTGTCTTTCCTTCTAGATGGATCCAGTAACAGAGGAGAAAGGGCTCTTCTGCCAAAACTAGTTCCGTCATTCACAAAAAGGTAAACTGTTCCTCACCTCTTCTTACCTTTGTCCTCTCCATAGATTACCAATACTGGATCCTATCACTTTTCCAAAGCACTAAGCCAACCCTATTTGATGAGTGATGAAACAAGACCCGGCCCTAAATTCTAAGGTCATTTCTTCCTATTAACTCTGATTTTCCTTCACTTAAAGTAAACAGGGCCTCTCTTGCTCAGGGCAATTACACATTCTCAAACAACTCACTAAAATGTCACCTGGGCATATACACAAGTGCTCCAGAGGCAGAGTTAATAATATTTATTTTGGTTTCACTTCCTTTGGTCTCATGCCTGCCTGTCCATTTTTCTACGGGAAATGATTCCTTAGATACTATTATTTTTGGCCTGCTTTCTCTTCCTTCTCCCTGCACAGCACCTTCTCTCTCCTCCCTCACCTCCTATGTCCCCTCCCACATGCTGCATGAACCTTTGAACCTGTTACCAGTGGGAAATGGAAGTCCACTCCTCAGGGGGCAGGGTGAGGCCCACAGAAGGGACTCCAGAGATGGGGAGGATCTGCCTGCTTCAAAGAAATGCTTCTATCAAACACAAGGAGGAAGAGCTTGCTGGAGCCCCACCTGTTAACCAGATAGAGTGGTCAGCTCATCCACTGAGCAGCCACCGAATCACACACTTCTGCTGCCTCCCCTTGCCTTCTTCCCCTTCCATACTCAGACAACGACTGTAAGCAAAACCTACTCCTACTTCCTGACTAACAGGGACCATATTTTTTAGAACAAAACTGGAACTGCTTGAGATACATCATTTTGAACTCTGATAAACTCAGGTTGCCACCACTCACAGAACAGAATGATTATTATGTGCTGAATTGTACCCCCTAAAGCATAAGGACCCAAAGGACCTCAGAACATAGCCTTACTTAGAAACAGGTCTTTACAGAGGTGGTCAAGTAACTGTATGGTCATCAGGGTGGGCACTAATAGTTTTATAAGAATAACATGACTGATGTCCTATAAAAGAGGAAATTGGGACACAGAGACAGACATGCACAGCAGGAAGATGTCCCTGTGAAGGGAGAGGACTGCCAAAGATCGTGGGCAAATCACCAAAAGCCAGAAGAAGAAAGATCCTTTCCCTGTAGGTTTCAGAAGAAGCATGGCCCTGCTAACACCTCAGCTTCAAACATCCAGCCTCTCAAACTGTGAGACAATAGATTTCTGCTGTGTTAAGCCAGCCTGTTTGTGGTCCTTTGTTACAGCAGCCCCAGCAAACTCATACAGCTACCAAGAATCATTACTCATGCAACAAAGACCACAGCCAGTAGCCAAGCCACAGGACTCTCTTTAACTCATCTTTAACAGGAGGAGTATAGTGATGGTATATATTAGTGCACAGGTGAGGTGAAGGTTAATTCGGATCACCTATAGAGTGGGCTTAGCATAGGAGTGCTGTCAGGGGCTGTTGTGCAAGAGAGGCATAGAATCAGACTGTGTTAGAAGATGCAATATGGTCCAGGCCAGATGAGGAAGGAGGAAGCCCAAGACAGAATACAACAGACAACAGGAAAGAATAGAGCTAAAATGGGACAGAAGAGAGGGAAGGAGAGGAAGATAGAACACCAAGAAACACTGAGGAGGAGAAACCCAAGACACAGTGCTCAATGAATGTGGAGAACAAGTTCTCTGTAGCACTAACCAACCTTCAATTATGAAAACTCAGGGGATGGAGGAGTATGGCTCAGCTTCATGCAGTCTGTGTGCATCATATCTGCAATCCACATCTCCAGAACATCTGGTATCTCAACAAGAATATAAAGGCTTCCTGCATGTACATATAGGGATGTGTGTGTATGTGTGCATGTGTGTGCACGCGCATGTGTATGCATACACAAGCACACAAGTATGCATGCATGTTTAAAGCCTGTAAGTCTGATTTTTCTTCTTTGGAATACTAAAAACATTTTTTATATTTATGAAGGTAAGTAATGTCCTGGCACTTTAATGCACTTTCTAAGAAACAAATGAAGGGGCTGAGGTTGTGGCTCAGTGGTCAAGTGTTTGCCTAGCATGTGTGAGGCACTGGGTTCGATTCTCAGTACTGCATATAAATTAAAAAAAAAAAAAAAAGTCCATTGGCAAAGAAAGAAACAAATGTAATGGTCCAGGCACACAGTGTTTCTTTGAAAAGCTGGAAGATTCCTTTGATTACAACCAACACCCAAGCACCCCAACAATTCGGTTCAACAGATTTTTTTGCAGGGGTCACGTCTATATGTGTTTCCATTTTTTCATCCAAAAATAGAAATAAAAACAGTACCTACCCTCAGAGATGCTATAAGATTGAATGATATAATGTAGGTAAGGGCTTAGCTCAGTACATGGCAAGGTTTCAACCAAGATCATCAATGGCTACTTCATGTTCTCCTTTGTACAATTCTAAGCCAGTGGCTCAAACTGCCAGGTGCAGCAGAATCACCTGGAAGGCTTACTAAAACAAAGACTGCTGGGCCTGGCCCTTAAATTTCAGGGCTTGGGCAGAGTCTGAGAGTTCCCTATTTCTAACACTAAGAACTGCTTATCTCATCATTAGCCCTGTATAAATAGAGTAGTCCATGCTTATCCATAGGAATACCTTCTAAGACCCCCAGTGGATACCAGAAATCACAGATTTCCTATATATATGTATCTATGATAAAGTTTGATTTATAAACTGCAATAAGATGAACTAAAAGAGAAGAATGAAAACAACATACTGTAATGTATATTGCTATGTACTGCATAAGTTATGTGGTCTTTTTCCCTCTCAGAATGTCTTACTATACCACATCTCCCTTCTTCTTGTGATGATATGAGGATGATTTGATGCCCACAGGAAGAGATGAAGCAAGATGAATGATGCAGCATTGTGAGGTAGTGTTAAGCTGCTGGAAGGGTTACTCGAACACAAGCCCTATGATGCCACTGAACTGTGACCATCAATCTGATGCCTGAGAGGCCTACGTGATTAATAGGCAGGCAGCAGATACAACATGATTCGCATCCTCAAGTGCCAGGCAGAAGGGAGAGGGACTGTGTGAGCAGTCGTAACACTACTCAGAAAGATGCTCAATTTAAAACTTATGAGTTGTTTATTTCAGAAAACTTCACTTGATATATCTGGACCACAAATGACAGGGGGTAATGAAACCACCAATAAAATGGCTGCTCCTTAAACCACTGACCTGCTAGACGCTGGGATGATCAGAGACAAGAACGTCCACAGAAAGAGAAGGCTAAACATCCGAATCCTAATCCAGCCTCTCAACCAACTCATTTCATTTAACTTTGGGTAAATCCTCATTACTTTTTCTTTGCCCTAATGTGAGACTGGAAAATTCTTTCCATTAACTCTCCAGGTACCTCACTCTGTGCCCTGAAAAGCATCTGCAAACTGCAATAACTCTACTCTTTAAATCCCTCTGGCACTTCTACATCATCCAGGCCGTCCACCCTGTTGCTGACCTGCTTGCTGCCATGGCTGGCTTTCCACTCTCCAATGCTTATTTTCCCAGTAGGGCTGTGAGCTCTTCAGACACCGCTGCTGGGATGTCAGTACTTTCCATGGCAGTCAGTAAATACATGCTTTTAGATATATCAAAACCATTTGTATTAAAACATGTAAGCCCATAAATTAAAAAGAAAAATTCTAAATTTTCAATTGGGCTAATCAGATTCTGTTCTAAGCACCTTACTTGGATCAACTCAGTCAATATCCTTGCAGCACCTTTAAAAGGTAAGTGGTACTGTTAGCCAATTTTGTATATGAGTAAAGTGAGGCTCAGAGAAATAGCTTGCCCAAGAACTCACAGCTAGTACATGAGGGGGCACCGATTTAAATTCAGACCATCCTTAACATGATGCTACTGCCTCTTCAAGTGAGAACTCCCTAAGACACTGACACAATACAAGAGCATTCCAGGAAATAGAATGGTAAATCTTTGTCTTTTTTTTTTTTTTTTTTTTTTAAGGAAGAGGCGGGATAAGAGAAGGAGAAGGAAGGGAGTGGGAAAGGAGATGGAAAACCAGGCCAGATGAGCAAAGCCATCCAGCTAAGCCCAGCCTAGATGAACTGAATCTCACGGACATGTGAGAAATAACTTCTACTATGTGTGAGGCTTCATGGTTGTCACTTAGCAAAAGTTAACAGATAAAATCCCTGATACTCTAGGTACACCTACTAACAGATCAAAGAGGGTAACAAAAAAACTCACCTCAAAAAAGCCAGATGGGCCAATTTGAATAAAAGTTATCAAACGCAATTACAGAATAATATTGGTCAATACAAACATAAAGATTATTAGAACTGCAAATAAAAACAATGCTAAAGGCAAATTCTATTTGATAGCATTAGAACTCCTGCCCTGATCGCAGGAAATGAGCCTAGCAAGTCTACATGACTAAAAAGCATTCCATGTCTATAAAGTAGAAATGGCAACAGAAAACAGTTTACTAAAAAAGGCGGGGGTGGGGGGGCATTTTCTTTCAGTTCCTCATACTTTTATTCTTTTTTGCTTAAGAAAATTACCCTTTCTTAAATCTAAGTAGACCAGAATCTTATTTGTACAGAGTCCCCAGGCTTGTGTCTAAATCAGAGGCTACCTTTTGGCTGAAAAATCCAAGGTCTGCAGGAGTTCTAAACCGATGCCCATGTGTTATTTTGATGTCTCCATGAAGTCTTCCTGCTGTGGACTCTGCACACAAGTGCCACAGAAAACAGCGAGGCACCACATCTGAACACAGCCACAACCACAGCATCTAGTCAGACTTTTTCCCCACACCGCAATGTTTCATGCCCACTAGAACATTCTGCCCAAGTCCAGATTTCATCACGGTCCACTGTAGAATCTCTACGCTGCTCTGGTCATGAAAAAAATTCAGTTTGAGAAATGCCTGAATGGGGTAAGGAAGGGCTCTGAACCCCGGGATTTTTTAAAAAAAGATACATGTTTAAAAGATATAATAAATTCTGATATTTCCAGGGTTATGTTATGGTTTCAATATAAGGTGTCTCCCAAAAGCTCATGTTTGAGACAATGAAGAAAGGTTTAGAGGTGAAATGATTGGGTTATGGGAGCCTAAACCCAAACAGTTAGTTAATCCACTAATACGGATTAAGGGTGGTAACAGTAGGCAGGTAGGGTAGGTCACTGGAGGCATGTCTTAGGGTATATATTTTGTCTTTGTTGAGGGAAGCCAGAACCTGTGACTGGTGCTTCTCTCTCTCTCTCTCTCTCCCTCTCCCTCTCCCTCTCCCTCTCCCTCCCTCTCCCCCTCCCTAGTGCAATGTCTTGAACCACTTTCCTCCACCACACTCTTTCACCATGATGTCCTGCCTTACCGCAGGCTCTGAGGAATGGAGCCAGCCATCTATAGACTGAGACCTTTGAAATCATGAGTGCCAAATAAACTTTTCCTCCTCTAATAAAACTGTTTGTGTCAGGTCTTTTGGTCACAGCAGTGAAAAAGCTGACTAAAGTTACTATTGCATTTGGATTATTTGATGGAGAGAGGATGGGTGGCAGAAAAGAAGAAAGCTAAGTCATGATCATTATTTCACAGCAAGATGAGAACGCCTCCCCTCTGAGAAACCACCTGGGGCTTCTTTCACCAGAAGACCAAACAGCACAGGGCCAGGTGGCTACAGGAAGGAACTCTGCCAAGTGCTCTATCACCATCACTGAGGTGCACAGGGACAGCTGCAGGAGACACCAGGGTAGCTGAACTGAGAAAGTGATGTCTTAGCCAAAGGCACAGCCCAGAACTGGTCAGCAACACAGAGCGTTCTGCAACCCACCAGGCAGCTGGAAAGAAAGGTGGGAATGAAAGTCTGGGTACACCGCCAAGCCCTGAATGTCTACTTACAGGCTCCACAAACTCAAACATCTTTCTCTCTTGGACTTCCTGCACCTTGAAGACATACTCCAGGGATACTTCGTAGAAATGCTGCCGGACCAGGTCCACTTGGCTGTCGGCCTACAAACAAGATGGAATGTAAGAGAGAAATTGAGTCACTAACCAAGGACAACAGTGAGCAAGCAGAAAAAAATCTCTAGATTTTTAAAACAAATCAAATAACATGACACCGAAATAAGAATAACAACAATGGTTAACAGAACACTAACTTTGTGCCGGGCACCGGATCCATGCTTGTACATACACTAGTTAACCATCACTAATTTTAATTATATAATCCTTATTAAATTTCTATAAAGATATATTATCTTTATCTATAATTTGCAGGAGGAAAATCAAGTCCAATGAAGGTCGCAGAGCTGGGACTCCTGTCCTGGTGTATCTGCCCCCAAGAACCTCAATCACTGTCCGGCCACAATGCTCTACCACCTCCTTGGACCAGAGGGGAACCTGGGCTCCAGAGCAGGCAGGTTTTTAGAGTGAAAAAGAAAATCTGTAGGGCCATCCTCACCCTGTCCCTCCTCATGAACAAAACAAGCTGTTAGAGGAAAGGGAACCCCAGACAGGGCATTCATTTTTACATGTGTCCCAAATACTGTGACAAAAAAACTGTCACTTTACCTCAAGGAGAGTAATGGCATTGCTCCCCCTGGCTCTCACTTCTCCCTCTGTGCAGGAGATGTCCGGGACAGGCCCATGGGTGGGTGCAATTAAATCACAGATCTGGGCTCCAGACAGGGAGAAAACCAGTCTAGACGGAGTGGCAGGACACTATGCCAAAGGATACCCAACCTTCACCCTCAACCACAACACTTTACGGGAAGCAAATTTCAATGATGAAACACTATACAAATGAACATACGTACTAGTAGGAGACAAAACACTATTTTCCTTAGAAACAAGTCAGGAACAATTCTATAACGTACTGTACTAAGATAAACAAAGCTCCCCAAAGAACATTTCTACTTGTTCCTTTGTCAAGATTCCTGCAGAAGAAATTTGGGACAAACCCTTACTTCTATTATTCCAAATATGGTGCTACACTAACACCTTAAGAACTTAGCAATTCATTCCTTCACTCAACTATCTCAAGCAAAAAGAAACTTTCTTCATGGAGCTTACAATATAGTGAAGAAAAAAGCAGAAAACAAACTCAGTCAAATGATCATGTAAATAAAGAGAAAATCAAAAGCTCTAGTAAAATACAAGACACTTGATTTTTTATTATTTATTTATTTGTTTGTTTGTTTGTTTTGGTACTAGGGATTGAACTCAGGAACACTCAACCACTGAGCCACATCCCCAGCCCTTTTTTATATTTTTTTATTTAGAGACAGGGTCTCACTGAGTAGCTTAGCACCTCACAGTTGCTGAGGCTAGCTTTGAACTTGCAATCCTCCTGCATCAGCCTCCGAGCCACTGGGATTACAGGCATGTACCATCATGCCCGGCTATGACACCATGATTCAAGTCTTGTACTACCAAGCTCCTCCTACAGGGTAACCCACATACACAGAGGCTGGTCTGCTGAGCAACTGCTGAATAAAACTGAAGGGCCAAGATAGGGGGCGCTGTGCAAGCCTCCAATGAGGGGAAGGAGGAAGGAGGTCTTTATCTGGAAGCAAGATTTCAGAAGGCCCCATACCCTGCCTCCCCTAGGTGTGGCTGCTTAGGTGACTGGGCTGACACCATCTACCTGGGCTCCTCCAGCCACGCCCAATATGTTCCCTCTAAGTTTAATGTTCTTGGAGATTTAAATAAATAATATTAAGTAAATCCAACACATCTACACTGAAGGATGCATCTTCTTCCTCGACCTTCCCATACAGGCCTCACATTCTCCCTGGGCTTGCCAACTCAGACTGTAGGCTAGGGTAGGGGATGAGGGGCTTATTCTGAATATCTGCAAAGGGCCTATTGCAATTTAGGCAGGGACATAGAATCAACTCCAGTATCCCTCAGAGAGCTGATCTAGGTCAACATTCCAGTTCTAGAATTTTCCTGCTTACAGTCACTGATCCTACCTGGAAGATGGAGACAATAATGTCAGTCCTTGCCTCAGAGTGAAGCTGATTCGTAAGAGTAAATGGACCAAAGGATGTGAACAATGTGGAAAAAAGGGAAAGTGTCCCGTGCATGTTGGCTGTTAAAACCACCAGGAACCTCTGCGCACTGGGCTGCAATCCCTGCTCCCACCATGAACCAGCCACGCTGTCCCCAGGTCACTGCACTTTTCTCCTAACTGCTCTCCCCACCTGTGTTCTCTCACCTGCCTGGCCTCTGCCCAGCAGCCAGCACACATTTCTTGGAATCCCAATCAGAGGTCTCTCAGCCCCTTTGAGACCTTCCCCATGCTGCCCCATGGTGTGAAGACCCTGGGAGCTCTGCCCACTCCTCTGGCCTCCCCTCCACCCATCCTAACCCACCCTGACTGTGCCCCAGCCTTTGGATTCCTCCTGCCCTCTAATACCCCAAGCCCCCTTCCTGCCCACAACCTCATTTGGTGTTTCTTCTGCCTGAAAACCTCTTCCCCGTCCTTCTTCACAGTAAGAAATACTTTTTACGTTATGACCCAATAAACACACATTTTAATTTAAATATAATGCATATTTTTCATTCTGTCTGACTCAACTCTATTTTATGACCCTGTGATTCCGATTCCTATTGCACACCCACAGCTTGAAGATGACTGCCCCAGCTTCCACACAGCTCGCTCCCTCTCAGCCCTCTGGGCTCAGTTCTGGGCTCATTAACCACAGTGTCCTGAAGAAGTCCCTAGCTTACCTCCAATTTATTTTCTTATCACTGTGTGAAATTCTTATTTAATCCTTCTTTTCTTGTGTGTTGATTACTATACAACAAAGTCCCTGAGAACAAATACCTTATCTAATTTTTCCCCTTTTCTATCCCAGAGCCCAGAACAGTGCCTGGCCCAGGGTAAGTGTTCAAAAGATGCCCACAGAATGATGGACTCAATCTCCATGTGGCGGTCAGTAGCACTGAAGCACATGGCTGCAGTGACACAGCACTAAGCAGAAATGCATACCTCAATGTATTTCCAAAGGAAAAGAAAGGAGAAATCCCAGGTGGGATGGCACAATTCTCTAGCCATGCCTCTGCTTACTCTAGGGCATAGATTCTACCACAGCCTTAGACTCTACAGTGGAATCAGAAGCCAGGATTCCAACTCACTCAGCAGAGCACAACTATATAGTTTGAGTGTGTCCCCCAGAGTTGGTGTGCTTGGAGCTTGATCCTCAGTGTGACAGTGTTGGGAGGTGTTGTGGCACATTTAGGATTCTCTGGGGCACTGCTTTGGGGAGGTATTAAGTCATTTTCATGGAACTCTACTAGTTCTCAAAAAAAGATGTCATGAGAGAATAACACTGGCCCCTCCCTGCTCTCTCTGGCCTGCATATGCTATCCCGGCTCACACATGGTCTGCCATTATGATACCATTACCCTAATGTGATGAAAAAGGCTGGTGGTAAGGGAGAGAGGTGTCATCAGAACTGATGCTGTGCTGTTTGAACTTCCAAAAGTGTAGCTAAATGAATCTCTTTTCTTTATAAAGTACTCACACTCAGGTATTTTGTTACAGAAAGCTGACCATCACTCAAGACGGTTTCACTGTTACTTAAACTATAAATCTTCCAGCTTGACTAGACCCATCAAAAATTCTGTGCTTTATGAAAAAGAGACATTTTCCAAGACTATAAGTTCCACGAAAGCAAATACTTCATTTCACTTCCCACAAAACACCCACAGCCTGCACAGACTTTCACAGAAGTGTCCAATGAATACTAGTAGAATGAACACATACTGGTTTTGATGTAAATTTCTTAGCTGTTAAAGAATATATTGATGTTTTTAAAATCATCCACTAGATGGCAGTGTTGTTCCACATAGGTGCCCTGTGATTTCTATTTTTCATGGATTTAGGAATGAGCTCAAACTAAAGAGCATTCACTTCAGAGCCCTGCAATCAAGGATAATCAAAAGTATAAGATTTCATCAAAGATGTACCAGGTATTTAATGATGTCCCTAAAAGTTGATTTTTAATAAATGTAAAGGAAATCATCCCTAAATAGCTGGAACACCTTAAGCAAATCACTTGACCTCTACAAGGAGCTCAGATCCTTCAAGGAGGATTGTACTGGATGATCACCCAGGTGCCTCCCTCTCTCTGGTTCTGTTTTCATGACAATGGTTCTGAATAAGAATGACTGGCAAGGTTCAGAGCCTCAAGACCCTTCCTGAGACAAGAGCAAACTGGGTCAGTGGAGCTCCCACCCAGGTGTCAGCATGAACTAGCCATTTGGCAGGCAATTTACCAGCGCCAAGCCTCAGTTTTCACATCTGTAAAGTAAGTTGATACATCTATTCTTCATAGGGTGGTTGTTAGGATTCAAGAAGATTCCATATGAAGTTCCTAGGGCATAAAATATGCATTCAATAATGTCTGCTGCTACTGTGGGTGGTGGTGACAGTAGTTTGTTGCTGTGGCTGTTAGGACTTTTATTGCATATATATTCAGTCCAGGTATAACTAAAAAGCAATGCTTCAGAGCTGACCTGAGCAGACAAGGACTTGCAAGAAAGACCTGGAGCCCAATCCTTTCCTTCAAAATACTCAGAAAGCATGAATGGGCAAAAGGCAGAAACACAAAGGACGATAACAAAAGGACATAAGGAAAAATGTGCACTGAAGTATAAAAGTGGCACAGTTAGGAACCATGTCATCCACTGTGGGTACAGGGGGTAGAGAGAAGCAGGCCAGTCAGAGCGATAATATGTTACCTTTGTGCAGCACCTACAGTTTGACTTCTCATTCATTAAGTAGTCAGAATGGGTATTGTGTGAGTGTTTTACAAATAAAGGAACTAAAGCTTAGAGTGTCTAAGTAATTTGTCCCAGGTCACACAGTGAATGCATGTCCAGTGTTCTGGTCCCTACACTGTGACAACTCAGAGAAATATTGCATTGAAATGGACCTTAAAAAAAATGTTGGATTCATCCCAGGCCAAGACAATAATATCACACTAACAGGAAAACAGGAACACCACACCAAAAGGACAGCTGCGCCCAACACTGCAGGTGCCAGAGTGTCCAGACATCTGCTCAGCTCTCAGTGCCTGCATGAACAGTTCATGGTCATCCTAAACATAATGTGAAACCATGTAGATATGGCAGAGCTGGACAGAGCTGGTCATTGTCAACTACAGCCACAAAGCCTTTCCTGAACATAAATCAGTTTCCAAACCCTAAATGTCAACTAATGCTAGAAGAATGAAAACTAAAAAGTGAGGGTAGCAGAGCTAAATGGCATTTATTACTAACAATCCACATGTCCTTGGCCATCTTCTAGTGACTCCATTTTGAACTGGAGTTCTTATTATCAAAGAACTGGTTGGTCGATTAGTGTTAATGCTTTTGCAGAAATGGGGATTGAACCCCAGGGCCTTGACCACGGTAGGCAAGCACTCTCCCACTGAGCTACACCTCCAGCCCTACAAAATTGGTTTAAAACCCATTTCAAAGCAAAGAATCCTGAGAACACCATACTGCTATCTAAAGATGTGTAAGAAACCCTGATTAGGAGGAGACTGGACTCAACCACCTCCTAAGTTACCTTCAGCTCTCAACATCTGACCCTACCATCTTCATATGACTTTAACCTGGCACAAGTACTGGCTCGGTCTCTGCTCTAAATGAGGACCTGAAAGTCAAAGCTTTACTTTTCAGTCACATGAGGAGAAAGGTCAGGCAAACTATTAGGATTTAGGTGACATTTGTGAAGCCAAATTTTGAGTTCCACTAGGAAACTGCCCTGTCTTCCAGAAACATAAATTCACTCACCCTGCAAATCGTCACAAACTAAGTGGTGACAGCAAAGCTGCCTTTTCTTTTCGGGTAACCTACTTTTAAAAAGACCCCATGCAAATCTAGAAGAACCAGGAGCAGATCAAAGACTATTTTCTCAAAACAAGTTTACCACAGCTCAAAATCTATGTATGACAACATGATAACTGTTAAAACAAAAAAAGAAAGGAAAAGACTAAAGTCAAGTACTAGATTGAAATAATTTTAAAAATCAATATTAAAGGGCTGGGGATATGGTGCAGTGGTAGAGTGTTCGCCTGGCATGCATGAGACCTTGGGTCCAATACCGAGTGCGTGTGTGTGTGTGTGTGTGTGTGTGTGTGTATTAAGGAAGAATGTCCCAAGTGTTTCAAATGCCAACATTGTGAATCAGTGATACGAGGCAGCAGGTCAAGAAGGAAGGCTGCATTAAGGCTAACGGTGAGAGGAACAGGAAGGTCTCAGCTTGAAACGAAGAGGTGCAATCTAGCTTTGAGGGTGCCCACCCAGGAGGTGGTGGTCTTGGGTGGTAGTATGTTCCTCAGCCACGGCTGGATGCTGAGCCACAAGTGTGGGTGGGATAGGGAGTTACAAAAGTAAAGCAGTAGATGAGGACTTGGGTTTAAGCTTCTGGTTTCCAAGATCTCTTCCAACCCTAAGATTTTCTGGCAAAGAGCAAACAGCACATATCCACAGTACCATGTAAAAATCTAACACTCTGTTCTGGTATTCATCACACTTCTTACCTCTTGTAGCTGAGATTCTTTCTTTTTAGATGACAAATTCAAGTGTTTTTCTAAGATGCCACAATACTTCTCTGTCTCTTTGTCATACTTCTTTTTGGCTTCCTGGCAAAAATGAGAGAGAAAAAGAAAAAGTTACCATTGCAGGAGTAAAGCAGCTCAGTCTCTCCAGGCTGCCTGCTGCTCTCACAGCCTCGTCATCCCAGCACAGATCAGGAGACAACTCCACATGGCCCCTATCCTTAAAAACACCCATTAAGCCACTCCGCTGCAGCCCCACAGGCTTGAGCATCTATGACAGAGTCACCAGCACAGTCCCAGAAACATGGTCAATGCCAGCATTCAGTAATGGCAGAGCCAGAATTCCACCTTCTAAGAACTTTAATTGGGGGGGCTTGGCAGGAGTAGGTAGGAAGTTCAGCGTCTGCTTAGCATGCACAAGGCCCTGAGCTCCTGTCCCAGTACCAGGGGTGGGGACGAGGGGAACATCTTCAATTGAAGACCAAATTTCTATTCTCTAATTCACACATTCAAAGCCAGAGACAATGGGAGGTCATCCATGAAGATAATGTAGGGAAGGGAGACCTGCCTCCATCCTAAGTACGACTAGTCTAGACTAAGGCTAAATGGAACCTTAATACTCTTTACTACAGGGACTGAGCTACCCTGTGATCCCAGAGCACCACAAACAGGTCTCTGTGCCAAGAAAGAACCCAAAACAAAGATGGATTCTTCACAACTGTGTGACTGAGGACAGCAAAACAAAAACAAGAGGCAGAGGCACAGTCACTGCCCAAGGATAGGGTTGGTGATAATTAAGTGCTTGGTGTATCATGATATCAGGAAAAGTTCAGAAGCATGATACAAACTGGGGGCATCCCATGCAGGTACCTACCTACCTGTGGACGAGGATAAAAGGCTATACACTTAATGAAACCACAAGTTAAGGAAATGGAATAATAGGATTTTTTTTCCCTCCCTTTGGGAAATTCTGATGAGACTAAGTTACTGCCTTCAAAACGAAAAATAATTATAGTAATCTACATATTAATCCCTGTTCCCACAGCAAGGCCTTGAGTCACTGAGATTCTATTCTTAGCCCCCATTTTTACAGATAAGAAAAGTTAAGACCCAGAGAAGTAACTAGTAAAACTCACAGAGAGTGACAGAGCTGGGATTTGAACCCAGGAGAACACGCCTTCAAAGTCCACACTTTCTACCACCTTTGAGACGTGCTCAGGGTGGTCTCCTCTCAGTCCACAACCAGTGAGGTGGCAGGCAAGGGGGCTGGAGGGAAGCTGGTGCTGGTCCAGTACAGAGGCTCCAGTTCACCAAGTTCATCGCCCCTGTCTACAGGAGCCGAGGGGAGCCCGTGGAGACACTGCTATATAACTCTAAGAGCCCGGTATTTTCTAGTCAGATAAGGAGGCTCAGAGACTCTTCATTCATCTAACAAATTTATGATGAGCAACCACTCTATTTTAGGCTCTCCTTCGGGTACTGAAAATACAAGACAGAAGTGGCCCCTACCCTCATGGTTCTAGTAGAAAAAGAAACACAATTAACCAATAAACAAATGAGCAGCATAATTGCAAGTGCCACAAAAAAAATAAAAAACAGAGTGTGGTCACAGTGATCCTTTAGATAGGGTGCTCAGGAAAGCCTCACTGGGGAGGGAAGATGTGAGCTAAGTCCTGCTGAACACAGGAAGGGACAGAGTAGAGGTTTTAGAGCAAGAGTAAGTGCAAAGGCCCCAGAATACTAAGCAAAGAAGTGATCATCCAAAGCCCTGACAAGCTCCTGCATTTATCTGGTTGACGCAAGATATTAAGCCGCACAGAGTGACATGCACCCATTTCTACAAATCTGACTTTTGCTTTAACAACCACTCACATATAAGAACTATGAAGCATACAGAAGCAAATGAAGACAAAGCCTGAGGACACAGGGCTCCTTCATATTTGAGGAGGGTACAGGCAAGCAACTCTTCTCCTTTAGAGAAACCAGGATCTTCAAGCTGGGCTCCAACTCCAATTGCTGCTCACGTATATCCCCTCCCACTAGCCTTGTCAGCAACCCTAAAAAGAACCCAAGGGCCAGAACAGTTCAGCTGGCCAGAGGTGAGAAAAGGCCAGGGAACATGAGTCACTGGCATTCTGTGACTTTCTGGCCACTCAAGCTTCCACATTCCATGTTCAAGAGGACAGCCAAAGTTAGAGCAAAGGATAACAAGAAAGGAAAGAAAAAGAGAGATGGAACCAGTTTCTGTTCTGAGAAAACAGCAAGAGACCTCTACAGGAATAACTCTGAGACCTAGGTAATGGTCTTAGAGGGGAGGGTGTTATTACTCAGGAACTCAGGACACAAAATGGTTTTCACCCTCCAGAGAGGACAGAGCCAGGGTCCTGGCATTTACTTCCAACTCTGTAGGGACTGACTCTAAACAAATCACTCTAAACAAATCACTCAATTATCTCATTCATTGATAATTAATAATTGTTCAGGTTTTGTCTTGTTCAAACACTATTTAACAAAATAAGGAGAAGAACACACCCTCCTCATAGGATTGTTAGGTAATCTCATTTAATAATGAGACAAACCACATACAGGAAAGGGCCTGGTGTATGAGAAGCACGCAATGAATTTCAATGATAGCGATGAGCTTGTTGTCTGTACCTATCTCCTTCCCATCGAGAACACCACTTGCCTTGCATGTCCCATTGTTCCACAAAGACAATCCTTCTGAGCACCTATCATAACCTGAAATGATTCGGTGTTTTGTTGGTGGTGGTGGTGATGGGTTTTTGTTGTTGTTGTTGCTGTTGTTGTTTTTGTCTAACTCCTTTTTCTCCAGCCACACCACAAGCCCACAACAACATCTGCCTGTTATCCACCAAACATCAAAGCATAGCAGCACAGGACCAGGCACAAAGCAGGGTCTCACAAATATCCTTAAGGAATGAACCCTGTCTGTCTAATTTAATGGCCAATGTCACATGACTAAATGACAGGCACTGTTCTCTCGTCCAATTATTACATGACAGATACCATTTTAAGCACTTTATATGAGTTCATTCATTTCTTCTTCATAATAACTATGAGGTAAGTTCTATTATTATCCCCATTTTACTGATTGGGAAGTACACATGAGGAGGTCCAGCAAGTCTCCCCCAAGTTCACATGCAAGTGGTAGAGATGAGATTTGGAATCATGCAGCCTAGCGCTAGCCTCACTCATTCCTCCCCATACACTGGGGATTGAACTCAGGTGTACTCGACCACTAAGTCACATCCCCAGCCCTTTTTATTTTTTGAGACAGAGTCTTGCTAAGTTGCTAGGGCCTCACTAAGTTGCTGAAGCTGTCCTTGAACTTGCAATCCTCCTGTCTCAGCCTCCTAAATCACTGGGATTACAGGTGTGTGCCACCACATCTGGCACTAGACACCCTCTTAACCACTACTCTCTACCATTTATTCTACTCGCCTTATAGATTCCACACTCCAAATCTACCTCTGGAACAGGGAAAATTAACTTCTTAAACTTAGAAATAGCAACTTAGGACCATTGTTAAGAGAAGCTTCAGGGTCATGCCTACTCCTGAGCAGTCACACTAGCACAAGAATTCCCAGAATCCCCCACTTCCTGGCAGCCTTCACAATGAGTACTCTGCAACAGGTTGTTATAGCAACCAAAGCAGCACCCGAGAGGAGAGAAGGAGGGGAAAGTAATTTTAGCATCACTTGCAGGGTTCAGGAACCTCTCTTCTTGGCCACTGAAAAAATAGCTAAAGAATACTTGCTGGCTCTTAGGTATTATTGACAAGGCACCCGCCCCCAAGTGGATTTGTTGTTTATTTTTTTTTAATTTACATAGCACTATGATATAAATGCATGGGTGTGTGCAGTGATGGAGAAGATATGGGTCAGGGGGAGACAATGGAGAATGGTTGAGAAATCACCCAAATGCCACTCAAATAACTTGGATGACTGATGATTATTAATTATTTAATGAAGGAGAGAACACAGTATGATGCTGGGTTGAGTGACTATTTCATTTAAATTCTTTTATTCTTACAGCAGGACCCCACGACTCCCCGCTCCTCTCATGAGGATCACTGATCTTAAATCCCAAGGGAGCACACTCAGGCTTCTGCTTCTCCCTGGTGACAGTGGTAAATCCCCAAACAATGTGAGGCAAGAGGCCAGAATGAAAGGCATCTGTGCCTAGAAGAAGTAACTCCTAGAAAGATGACTCAATATGCAGGTCCTCCTGCCTCTGCCTCAAAGCTCTCCCCTGAGACCTTGAGAAGCCAGCACTGTACATGCCATAGGAAAGCACAGGCCCTGAGGCCCCAAGAGTTCACTCACCAGCAAATTCTCAGCCCTCACGGACAGTCCAAAGTCCTGGACAAAATGTTAGTACAACCAGATTTCCTTCAAATTACCCATTCCTTAATCTTTCATACGAAACTAATGAATTTCCATTGCTTTGTTAATATAAAATGAAACTGGTACACACATGCCCTAAAACTAGAAGAAAATCTTTGCCATGGTCTCTCCTTCAATCCATGGCCACCCACGGCTCTGACAGACCCTGACTAAACATCTTTTTCATAGAGATAGATCATATCTATTTCTACAAGGCAGGTGAGAGGGCTCTCACTCTACAACATTTCACTACTGTTTTCTCACCTACAATCACTTCTCAAGGACATTTCACAACTGAGTAAAATCCACTCCAAGGAAGAGGGTGGTGCAGCCCCAAACCTCCTGCAGGTGGCGTGAGGGACTGTGGCTGAACTGACCCAGTTCCAGAAAAAAAAAAAAACGTGAAAAAGCCTTTTGCTTCCATTGATTCCAATCAAAACATCTTCCCTGCAGGTGGTCTCTAACACGCTACTGAAGGTCAAAGCAGCTAGGATTTCCAGTGATTTATCACAGGCGGGAAGCCCCAGAGAATCCCCTCTTAAAAACGAACTGGTTTCCCTTTGCAGTCTTTCAGTAATATACGAAACTAGCTGAGTTTGGGCTACAGTTCTTCCAGGTCAGTGATAACCCACAGAGACCTCTAGGCTGAAGCAGGCCTGCAAATGCACTTTTTGACCTACACAATGAGTAATACATATTTTCTTAAATTATTTCACAGAAGTTCTCTGGCTTTTCAGTTTCTCTTGAAATGTTTTAATATCTGGCAAAAAAAAAAAAAAAAAAGGACCCATGTCTACACACCACAAAAACTAAGTACCAGCCTCCTCCCCTGAAACAGATCCCTGAGCACAGGGTCTATAGTGTAACTCTGCTTAGGCCATGAGTCCTGGACTCCCTGATTAACACCATTCCACAAAAACAACTGTCCAAGCACAGTGCCATCTGAGAACACAGAGAAGGTGTAGTTTCTTCCTGTGGGTGGTTTATGAACTAGCACAAAACAATCAGGTAACGAGATACTGGAAGGGTTGCTGAGGTGGATGCTTATTCAGGGGCTTGCAAAAGAGCAGATGAGCTGGGGTCTCAGCTTATCTGTCAAAGAAGATTTTCTGAAGGTGAGCTTATGTTTTCCCGGAGGCATTCTTAGATTTTTTAAAGAAGCTCCTGTGCTTTCCAGACTTTTACCCTAAAATCCAAGAACAACGTTTGTAACATGCTTACCTTGGCAGCCCCGATTTGCTCCTTTCGAAACTTCTCCAAGGGAGTGATGAGCACCTCACTGGCATTCTCAATCTGGTGAAGAAAATCAGAGGGAGATGGGGGAGACAAAAGCAGTATCAGTAAAGAATTACGGATGTGATGGCAGCTCTGTCACAAAAGGTATTCCTATGTCTCGTGTAGAGTTAGAGTAAGCAATACCATCTACATGTCACCATTTACAAAACTTGAACTGATGGCACAACAATACAAAAGCTAGTCACTGTTCAAAACGTGAGAGTCCTCCTGTGCATGATTAAAATTTGTTCTTTAAAAGGGAAAATGGAAATGCCTAAAAGTGTCAGCAACCTTCTGAAGGCAAAGGAGAATGGTGACAGTACAGTCTTAAGTTTCAAGCTTAGGTGACATCTTCTTATAGATGCCCATGCATCAAAGTTACAGGTAAAGCAGATCAACAGTGAGTCCAGGTAAAAAAAGAAACAAAACGCCTTTGGACATCTGCTGTCACAAGAACCTTTCAGTCCTGATGCTATGTCACCCCAGTACTGGAACCAGGATGTCTGCACCTCCTGATCACTGTCTACTTCTCAACACCATCTCCCAGGGCTCAGCCTCAGCCCTGCACTCCAGGCCACCACCACCCCAGTGCACCTCCAATGTGCCAATCTTAACCCACCTCTGGTCCTCTGCCCCTGGCTATTCCCTCAGATGTTCTGTCCCCAAACCCTTGCACAGATGACTCCTTACTGTAATATTAGGGTTTTAGCTTAAAGGTCATCTTTTTAAAAGGGAGGCCTTCCGTGACACCACTGTCACCCAAAGAAGCTATCTGCCATCCCACCACATGTTTTCTTCAGAACACATATGCCAGGTGGTGTTTTCTGGCTCAGCACTGTACATGTTCTCTCTCTCTCTCTCTCTCTCTCTCTCTCTCTCTCTCTCATACACACACACTCACACACATACCGTCTTGTAAACACTCACTTGTCTACCACTCTCTTCAAAGCCCAGAGGAGTACTGAAACAAAGGAGCACTCAGACACTTTTGAATGACTAAATGAATGATGTCTTGACTAGCTGCCAACTGTGTGACCATGGGCAAAACATTTAACCTCTCTGGGCTCTAATTTCCTCATTTGCAAAATGAGTGGGTTGAACTGTTCCAGCTCTGAGACTCCATGGTCTTTTGTAAGGCAGTGCAATATTTTACAGTCTTTCCTTTTAAGTCACTCATTGCTCACTCTGTGTTCAACTAGTTATTTCAGGAATCTCTTTACAACAAAGTATTATTTTTTCTAAATCATATGCAAGTCCTTCACAATGAAAGCAACTCAAATGTGTGCCAGAAGCCTTAGATGGACACTGTAGAGAACTTCCCGGACACTATGAGGGAAGAGAAAAAGGCAGGTCTCCAAAATTTATTCCTATTTGCCTTTTTCTTGATTTTGAAAGCACTTATTTCAGCAGAGTGCATTTTAACAATGGAGTGTTGCAACAGTATTGAACTTGTTTGATTTTTATTGTTATCTGGTGTTGCTTAATTGGTTGGCTTGATCAAATCTTTTCCACAAGTCAACTGTGAGTCCCTGAAGATTATAATGGTATGCCAAGCCCCTGGGTCAGTGATTCTCAACCTTAGCTGCATGTTAGAGCTACCAACTAAGAATCTCTGGATCAAATCCCAGACATCAGTATTTCGTAAGCTCCAAGTTATTCCAATGGGCATGGTCACTGAGGATCTGGTCCTACGCAGCTTATTCTATGAAGGCACTCAACTGCTCATGTGGGAAGCAAGACACCCAAGTCTTGGTCCCCATCCTACTCCTACCTGCGATCAGCCTTGATATGACCCGTTTCCTCATCTGTCAAATGACAAATTGCAGATGGTGAGGAATACAGTCTCTCTGGCTCTGAGAGTCTATGACTATAACTTCCATCAGTTCCAAGCACTGAGCTTGATGCTGGGGACCCAGAAGCCCATTCTCTGCCCTTGAGGAAAAAACTCCTATTGACTATGGGCACAGACATGTACAGTGATTATCAGGACCCAATGTGGTAAGTGCAGAATCAGAGGCATAAAATGGGTGTGCATAAAATACAAAGGACAGTCAAATATCGCAGGGAGTCAGGGAAGGCTTCCCAGAAGGGGCGCAGCTTTGCTGAGCCGAGCTGAACTGATGATGAAGCTGTCCCATGGCGAGGAGGGGTGAGAAGCTGCTGGTGATGGCCAGATACTCAGATGCAGACGGCAGAAACTCGATTCACTGACATTAATAATAAAATTGCAGAGGCAAGCTGAAAAGTATAATCCAGGCATTGTTCCCTTACCACAGGCCATCGCAATCTGCAGGGTATTCATGTTGATTTGCTCACCACGCCCCCACCCCCAAATACTGACTTGGCCAAGAATCAGGCTCAAAAGAATCACTGCCCTTTCTCAGGCACTAGCACGTGCCCAAGCACACAGCTTCCCCTCCCCCACCACCAAGCCTACAGCCACTGCCACAACTGCCACTACCATCCTGATTCTGATTTGGGTACCCACTGGTGGGCAATCAGGAGAAACCAGGTCACCTCGCACTGCAGAAAGGGGAAAGCTTCTACTCTGTTTGGAATTTTAAAGAAATTCCCCCCATATTTTTTTGGGGGGTGGGGGTATAATGCCGACTTGGGTTTGAATTGAGACCGTATCACTTACTAACCACATGATCCTGTCTAATCACTTAATCACTGTAAATCTCAGTATCTTCATCTGAAAAATGGGGACAAAACAGACACCATGTCACAGAGTCCCCATGGGAGGTAAATAGAACAGACAATGTGAAGTGCTTGGTTGAACAATGCCTTGGTAAACTTAATACTCACATTAACAGCTGTTGCTATGGGAAGAGAAGAGAAATGCTCAAATTTTGGTATCTTCATTAATCCTCAGGAGCACGGCTGCCTGGAGACAGTCTCCCTAGGGACAAACCAGCGGGCAGCCTGCAGGGGATTTCTAACCAGGTTTCATTCCCAACATCTGAGGTATGTGGGAGAAGATGCATAGGCACTTCCTGTGGGTGTGGAATCTCTTCTCCATTACTACTGAACCCCAATAGAGTAAGTGTCCTGTAATAGAACTTAGGAACTTAGAGATCAGCATTTGATTCTGGAATTTGCACAGCATTTCTCTTTGAAAAGCTCATTGTAATTACCGTCATTTACTAAGTGTCATTTACTGGGGCCAGCTACATGGTAGGTTCTATGTTAGGTGCTTTGGAATTAAGTGAAGCACTGACTCATGTCCTTGAAGGACACTTGGATAGGTTCAATAAAATGTGGGGAGAAGGAGCAGAGTAGGATATCATCTTTCTTATTCTGTTGGTGATAAATCTGAGGCCCTCAAAAGTTAAATCATTCAATAGTTCCACCCTTAAGACTTGTACCTTATGTGTGGACCTCACAGTAAATCTTTGGGTAGACATGATGCTGTTCAGAAGTTGTGTACAAGTGATCCTTTAACACTTATAAAAGGCTTCATCCTCCCAAGATGAGGCCTGCTCCAGATTGCAAAGCACCCCAGGGGCAAACACTGGACTCAAATCCAAGTCTTCTAATAGCAAATCCTTTGCTCCCTCGATGTGCACACACTGGGACCAAGAGCAGCCCGGCTATACTCACCATCCGTATCCGTTCATCTTCAAGATTCCTGAGGACAGTGGCAAACTCCTGCAAAGACCTTGCTGGAAGACAGAAAGGGGCCATGAACCAGAAGAAGAGTAATGGGTCTTCAGGAGCCTTTCCAGCTCCACTATGAAGCTATGGATTTCAATTTAGTGTACACACAGATGTCTGAAGTCAATTGCTTCCTCAGACTTCCCTTATCTTTTAATCATTAACCATTCAGGATAAGATGACCCAGAAGTGCAGGTTAATTGCATCTGGCACTCTAGCTAGGGAAGGATTTCTATAAGGAAAAGACCCGCCTGTTCCTGAGAGTCCCAGGACTGGTGAGATGCTGGCAGGCTCCCAGTCCCCAGGCTGGACGGGGCAGAGTTCCGCTCAGATTTCCTGTCCAGAATTCAACCTCCTCAACCTTTGTCATGGGGTTGCGTCAGAGCCCAACCTTTTCTTTGGCACCAGAACTGAATAAATAGTGCTGCTGGCATCAGAAGCCACATCACTGGCATCTCCTTGGGTTCTTGCTCTCTGAGTCCTCAAGCCACTCATTAATAGAATGCAGCATGCAGCGTGACAATAAGTAGGCACTGAGTAGAGTAGCCCTGAGGGTCCTCAGGTCACTTGTGCAACTTTGGGAAAAGCAGCCATCCATTCATGATTTACAATGATGCATTTTAATTGGTCTTCCAATTATCTATGCTTGTTCCCAGGTCCTGGTGCTCCACACAGCAACAGAACTCAAAAAAAATAGTTGATGAATTAAGTGACTCACTATAACTTTTCTCAATTCTTTTTTTTTTGTGTGTGTGTGTGCTAGGGATGGAACCCACAGCCTCAAGCATGTTAATGCACATGCTCTACCCATGAAACTACAGCCCCAGCCACAACTTTCTTTTTTAAAAAAATATTTTTATTGGTTGTTGATGGACCTTTATTTTATGTATTTATTTACATGCGGTGCTGAGAATCCAACCAGTGCCTCACACATGCTAGGCAAGCACTCTACCACTGAGCCACAACCCCAGCCATCCAACTTTCTTAATTCTCGTTCCCTTAATAGAGTCAACCAATATACCCAATGTGAAAAGAATGAAGTCTAATAATGAGACATCCACAAAGAAAGCTGTCTTGATCTTGCCTACCCTCCAAGCTCAGGGCTGCCTACAAGAGAAGGCAAGTGACAGCAGGGGTGGAGCAGCACAGCACCCTGAGAAACAGGAATGCACCACACCCTGCAGCCTTTTGGTAAGGAACAAAACAAATGGGGATCCTGGTGAGCTGGACCCTGAGCTCCTCTCCCCATCTGAAGGTAGTGACAGCCACGCAGAGCTCCAGCCAGTGGCTACCAGGCCAGAACACAGGGCCAGGAGATGGATTCTCAAGCTTTTCAAAGAAGCTGGGAAACTGGGATTTTAGATAAATTCTATTTATATGATGACTCAATTAAAAAAAAAAAAAAAAAACTCAGAGCCAAAATAAAGGCTGTATTCTGATCTCACCCTGTGAACTATCATTTTGCAACCTCTGGTATAAGTCTCCATTCATCTACCTGCATGTACTTTTGCACCACAGTTCTTAGCACTATTGTTTGGGGACAGAGGGGAAGGACACAAAACCAGCAGGAAGGAAAACATTAAAGGACAGTGGAAAGGACAGTCCCACTGCATGATCTTAAGCTTCCTCAGCACACTGGAAATGAGTGGGGCAATTCCAGAACTTGTGGCAGCCCAGCATAGCCCAGGCCCAACCCTCACACATCTCTGCCCCACCACTCCCTCCGGCGTCTTGTGTCTTTACTAACCTTCAGGCCTCCTCTCCTCTTTTCTTTTTTTTTTTTAAGATTTTTATTGGTTGTTGATGGACCTTTATTTTATGTATTTATTTACAGGCAGTGGGACACCAAAAACTACGACCAACAGCACACGTTTTTATCTTCCACAAGGTTATGACTTACCTATACACATCTCATCATCTGTTTCTGCATCTCCTATGCATTGAAATTTAAATTCATTTAAGGAATCTGCAAACTTGCGCTTCGCTGAAGACAAATCTAGCAGGAAAAAAAGGAAAAAACTGAATTACTGAAATTAAACTGGCCTTCTCAGTCGCTGTTCTTTTTAGTCCTTCTATGAAAATAGCAGCAAGCAGATTTGTTCCAAAGACCATTTGGGGGAACAAATGAATGCAATCTTAAAGTAGTAAATATTTGTTTATAACATGAAACTGATTTGCTCTAAAAGTTCGTATTTTTGTTACATGTGATTCTAATGATTCTAATCCAACCTCTACTTCCTCCTGCCACATAGCAAGTTCTGTCATCTTCATTTGACACATGTGGGAATCTGTTTGGCCCAGGTCAGGGAGGAAGCCTGGATCACAGTCCAAAGCAGTCTCTGCAGCCTGAAGTTCCACCCTGCCAAACCCGCCACGTGGTCAGCACAGCCGCCCCCATGCCTGTCTTAAGGATACTTTCCCCTAAGCCCAACCTCAAGTGGGGAGGGAGCCCTAGGAAAGCTAAAAGCAAGGGCCTGGAGCTGTGGGGCCCCATGGCAGAAGCAGCACTTGACCTTCGTCTTCCAACCTAGGCACACACAGAGCTCAGGTTCTCAGACCCTCTCCATTCTCCTCATGAGCCCAGTGCTGGGCCAGCCAGTCAAATTCCCACCTGAGCCATTTCCCTGGGTGGCCATATCCACCGCCACCAGAACAAAGTCCTGGCAACATTTTATAATGGGGTAAAAACACACCCCACACATGGTATCTATAATGAAAACTCTCAGAGGCCCTTGTCAAATTTTAAAAAATAAGCTTTCATTTAAGACAGTAATAAAAGCCAATGATCCTTCCTGAGCCCTCAGCTTCTGTTAAGGGTATAAAACCACGAAGGTACCTTTAAGTGGCCTAACAGACAAGGCTGCTCAGTGCAAATGTGCTTAACTTAATTCCGCACACAGCCTTCCTGCAGATTAGGCTAATCATTCAAATTACCCTTCTCCAAGCTTTCCTCACTGAAGGGGAAATGGCATTATGTTCAAATTCCCAGAGGAGGGAAACATGAGGCAAAACTGGTAACAAGGCCTGGCTTTAATAAGACACGGGCTGGGAGGAGGGCGGTCTTCTGGCTTCACAGATCAACACAGCCTACTAAATAAAAGCATCGTGATCCTCAACGTTTCTCTTTCTTTGCTCCCATTTTGTCCCTTAGAGTCAAGGGGTCATGTTTTTCATCTTCTGATTTTGTTTGGTTTGTTCTTTCTTCTTGCACCTGGCAGGGCATCCTGCTCAGCCTGTGCTGAATAAATGCAGAGGGAGTCATGGCACCCAAACCCCATCCCCAGCATTCCTCCCAAGCAATGGCTGCTCGGGAAAAGCCAGGCTCAGGCCTTGCTGCTATCCTCAAGTCCAGGGCTCAAGCTACTGCATGGAGCATGGACCACCCTCCCACAAAGTCAAATGACCCAGGTTCTGAGCTAACTAGGGCTTGTGCAAAGCACTTTGTTCTACAGTGCAAGACATGACACTTGGGGTGAAAAAGGGGAACACAGGAGCCAACTTCCAGTCCCTCTCTGGTTCAGTCACTTGGTCCTAGACAAAAAGTCAAAAGATGCTGGAGGGGAAGCAGGCTTCTCTCACAACTGGCCATTCCAGGCAGAGGAAAGCCCTCAGAACACAAGCCACCCTCCAGCAAGTCAAGAAGAACAGAAGCATCTGGAAGTCAGAACACTGTAGGGAGGAAGGAAAGGGGCAGCCCCAGGCAGGCAAGAGCAAACAAGGGAGAGTGGTGTTTTAGAGTGAAACAGGAGCCCTCCAAGAGGACATCCAATGTGCACTGAATTCTTTAATCTGAATGTTCCTCAACCAGAACCCACAAAGAAAGGCTGAGTGAGGAGTAAGAACAGCTCTGCCCCTGCATCCACCATCCTCCTGGGCCTCCCCAAGAGGGCGAGACAGACTCAAGTTGGACCATCATCTCGACAACATGAAAAAAATGTGAAACATAAGCCAGGCTTGGGAAAGATTCCAGCAGGCACCTGAAAGGCTGTGCTGCCAGGGCCAGCCGCCAATGCAGACCGAGGAGCAGCTAATAATAATGCACAATGGGGCTTTGTGGGGTCTTTTCACAGGAAGACCCATTTCACCTGGGAGCTCATGACCACAAGGTAACCTGAATTCACTGTCCAGTGGCTCAGAGCACACTCTGCCACTGCAGAAGCCTGAGTAGCACTGCAGATTGGAGGGACCAAAGGGCCTCGTCCCTTAATGGAAGACTGGGGATGAGTGCTGCTATGGAGTCAGTACTGGGCTCTGAGCCAATGAGGACAGCTGGGGTGAGTAAGAGCCCCAATCACTGGAACCTGAAATGTTCTCACCTCGGACTTAGAGAAAACTTCCAGGGAAGCTACAGTAGACACCTGTTGTTTTCTTGTTCAGAATCCATAATCCAGACGTTGGGACCACATCTCAAGCCTATTTGGGAGAACCTCCCTTCTCTATTTGCATTCTATGGGGTACTGGTTATAGGTTGATCAACCCCAACCTCTTGCTCCAGCCCCAGCCCCCACTGGCTCCTGGGTTCAAGTTCCAGCTCCACCACTTATCAGATATAAAACCCTGGGTCAAGTCTCAGTTACATCATCTGAAAGAAGCCTCAGGTGGGCTGGACACTCTGGACAGGCACTCTACCTACCACAAGATTCCTCTTTAGGCTAAAGCTGTGCTACTCTCTCCGGATATATGAATCCTTCAAAAATAGGCCCCACTGGGGAGAAGCATGATTATTCACGTGTAGAGCTCAGAGAAGCTAAAGGACTGACATAAGAACACACAATCAGACAGAAGACACCTATGACTCCAGTGTTCTCAGAACTGAGACCCTTGTAGCATCTGGCAACAACAAGTTAGCTCACCCCATTAATCCATTTTGTTCCCCTGTCCCAGATGTAATATGTAATTATAATGTAATTATACGAATAAAATTATAGCAATATTAATTAATTATATAAACTCTACATTATGATTTTCAATGTACTTTTATGTACCTGTGTCGACTTTGTTGAAATATTCACAGAACTGAAAGCTTGGGACTTAATGGGTTAAGATAACCCCTCTGTTACTTGGGACAATGGAGAAGGCATCAGAATGAGAATACTCAAAAACCATTGCTTCTGACCTAATTCAACCCAAAAGCATTGGTGATGTCTTAAGTAAATTATCACCCTGGATGTGCGACTCATCCAATGATTCATTTCTGCAGCTTTTGCTCTGGTGGGCACAGGATTCTATAACATGCATATTTCAATGAGGAGAAGGGCGGGAGGGGCTGGCACTGAGGCTAGAGCATGCCAAGCATCATGGCCCCACTCACATAACCTCACTGTTTCATGTTGAAGTGGTGCAAGAACAGCAAGGAGCCCTGCAGAGCCAATAATGTTTACTTTGCAGAACATCTGTTGCTAGAAAAGCAGAGTGTTGTCCAGAGTAGAGCAAAGTGGTCAATGCCCACATCCGGGGAAGACAAGGCTCTTCTTCTATGAGCGAGGAGACCAGAAAGGCAAGGACATGGAAGCAGCTAGAAATCTGGCCTTGTAAGACTGCTCCTAAAGCCATCTGGTCACTCAGGGTCCAGAGGAAAGTACCCTTCCCTTCCTGAAGATGCCATGCTTTGCCTCAGCAAATACTAATTTGCACAGAAGTTAAGAGAATTTAACCCAAATGTGATCCCTCTTTCACTAAGGAGAAGATTTATCACAATTTTTAAAAACTGAAAATCTGCCTTAATCTTATGCAAATTTACAGGAAATATTGCAAATCAAGACATTTCCTTTGACTCCATAGGGAAAACTGAACAGAATTGTGCACACACAAACAGGCACGCATGTGTATACCCACATAATAAAGAACTCAAGATAACATTACAATTTTATTTCTTTTCAGTGGATCTACTGCCTTTCTGGGCCATAGTTACCCAAATTGCATATAAGTATCCTTAATATTTTCTGCTACTCAGTCACATTCTTCTCTCTAGATTTAGAAAGTGATTGCAGTTAATAAAGACCAAGGGCAGAGGTAAGAACTTGCAAAAGGATTGGCCTCTTGGCTGCTTTAAGAACAAGAATACCACAGTCCCCAGCCCTTGCTGATCTGTCCCTTCTTTCAATGCCAATCACACTCACTCTCTGGGCCTCATTCTGAAACTCCATGTCATAGAATACAAAATGTGCCTAGCACAGGGCTGGACAGTGACTCTCAAAATCTGCTGTATGGGCCAGGCACAGCAACACATGTTGGCTTACAGGTAGAGTGCCAGAGGTCACCACAGAGGCACCGTGACTCAGAACTGAGAGACAAACACAAGTTCTCCAAAGACTCTAGTTTACTACACATCCCCATTCCCATGAAAGCCCTACATACTCAAAACCAAAGTCTCTCCTCACCTCTTCTCCTCCCCCAAAGAGCCAGTTAACAGTGAGGAAGGGCATCACCTGACCATCTGTCTTGCCACACATTTTGACACCTGCCTATCATCTTTGATGGGTGGTCTACTTCATGCACAATGTCCATTCCCAAGCCTGTCCATTTCACCTGCAAGTATCTCTCAGTTCTGCCCACTCCTCCCATCGCAAACCCTTACCCAATTAGCCCCATTTGCCTGAGTAACTGTAACTGATTCCTTTCACATGTCCCCACATCCACTTTTGTTCCTCTGGTCAGTTCTTTGCACAGTAGTTTCAGCCCTAGGATGGTTTCCCAGAGCTCTAAAAATAAAGACCAAAGCCCTTCTCCCTGAGGGGCCCTGAAGGGTGTGACCCCGCCACCTCCTTCTCTGGGCTCTGGGTGCCCTGGCCTCTGAGGCTCCTGGAGGGTGTGCCACTCTGCCTGTAGCTCTCAACTCAAAAGTCCCTTTCCCCAGGAAACCTTCTCTAAGCAAGCCACAACTGACTCTGTTTCTCACTCCCTGTGTCCTATACTCCTCTTCTTTAGAGTAATTTTATATTCAGTCAGGTAATTTTTTTTTCATTAATATCTCCCCCACTAACATTCCATACAGGC